TAACCCTTTTACTAGTGGGCCTCTACCAGGGGAGAGGCCATGGCTATCATATAAAATGCATCTTTTGACCTGGCCAGACATCAGTTGTTCCTGGCCTCACACAAATGTGTTATCCTGCAGGGCTGATTCTTCTGCAGTCTGTGCAGCAGGTGCCTGTTGAGTACCTACAATGTGTCCTCCATGTTACCCACTATATGGGGTGAGAGATGGAGTGTTAGATTGTAGTGCTTTGTACACAGTAGGGATTTAAACACTTGTCAATGGATGCCTACATCCGCTGACCACAGCAGGAAAGTGAGGCTGAGCCAGAGAAGACCTGTGGGTCCCTGGTACCTGCTTAGGCTCTCTTAGCTGAGGAAAAGACATTTTGTATGTGAGTGGTACTGGAGATGGAACCCAAGACCTCTCACAAGCTATTCAAGCCACATCCTCAGCCCTTTTTATCTTGAGAAAGGGTCTCCCTAAGTTTCCCAGGCTGACCTCCAACTTGCGGATGCTACTGCTTCAGTCTCCTGGGTAGTTGGAATTGCTGCCATACCTGGCTTGAGGACAACTATTTTATCCCCCATGATTGGCCTCTTCCCAGGGGTATTCTTTCTATTTTTTCCCTCTATGCCTTGGTGTTAGGCTCTGTGTGAGTTTTGAGGACTCAGAGGAAGCTTTCTGTCCCCTACTCCCAGCCTCCTGCCTCTGGGCCATCCTGACTGTGCATTCTGGAAACCCCCTTCTGTAAGGGGCACTCATGCTGATGTGAAAGAGCCAGACCTTACTCCAGGTGTTTGTCCTCATTGATCTCAGATTGTGTGCTGGGCACCATGCCACATACCCGAATCAGAGGCTGAGCACACTCTTTCCTGGTTCCCCCTTCCTTCTCCCTTCTTCTCCACGACCTCCTCTGGAAGGACTCATTCTCTCTGGTGTTTTGGTATCTTTGTTCCTTCATCCTGTTAGGTGAAGGCTGATTTCCTTCCTCCTTACTGTTTTTCTCTCTGGCCTCCCTTCAAGTCCTTTTTATTTTCTTTCTAATCAGGTTCTTTTGTTCAACTTTTAGAAAATATTTTATTAATTGTTGTTCTTTGTCATCAGTGCATTCTTTGATTCTCTTGGTGTGAGGCAGCTTGGTTTCCTTTGGGGGGCTGCTCTGTGGCAGGAGATGGCCAAGAGGGGTATGTACAATACTGCTTGTGCCCAGGGAGGCTCCTGGGTCTGTGATTGGGTCTCCAGGCCCACCCAGGACCTACCAGGCCAACAGGATCCATTCATTGGCACTCTGCATTATAATCCTGAAGGTAATCATGATGACAAATTCCTTAACGTTGGAAAGCACCTTGGTGGTTTCCAAAGACTTGACTGTGGCCTGGCTGGCAAAGCCACCTAGATAGGACTCAGCTCCAGCTTTGTCTCTAGGGCAAGGCATTACTTTGCTGGAAAGATTTAAAAGGGAATGAAGAAGATGCTCCATTTTGAAGTGTTTTCTTCTAGGCTGTAGGATTATAAGCAATTTTAACTCCCCCTCTGCAATTTTCTATATTTTTAAATTTTTCTACAATCAGCATATATTGCTTTTATGATTAAAATATGCAATGAATGTTGCTTCTTTTTTTTGTTTTGTTTTTAATTTTTAATTTTTTTGGTCTTGGAGATTGAACCCAGGGTCACTTTACCATAGAGCTACATCCCCAGGCCTTTGTGTTTTTTATTTTGAAACAGGTCTGGCTAAGTTGCTGAACATCTCGCTAAGTTGTCCAGGCTGGCCTCAAACTTGTGATCCTCCTGCATCCTCAGTTCCTGGTATTACAGATGTGTGCCACCGCAACTGGCATTACTGCTGATTTTTAAAATGTCACTCAGGGAGCTTGTTCAATGTACAAATCACTGGGCCCCTTTCCTGGAGAGTGACCCTGGTGGTCTGGGTAGGATCTATAATAGTACCTCAGCTGGTTTGTGAGTTTGGAAACCATGAATCTTACAGGATACCTGCAGTTTCCTTTTGAATCAAGTGAGTTCTAACAAATAGTCAGTGGGAGGTACCAGCTTAAAGCAAGGCCCTCTGATTCCTGGCCTGAGGACTGTCACAGGTGGAGGCATAGAAGCAAGTTCTTCCCAAAGGCTGGCCTGCATGGCCAACTCCTACGACTGCATCTTCTAGTGTCCCCACAAACTTCAGCCTACTGTCTGACAGTACTTACTGGCCCACAGTTGCTTCTGGTCCTCCAAACTCCTTCAAAGGATGGGGGTAAGGGTGTTGCCTTTCTCATCCCCAGAGACATGAAGACCCAGGAAGTTATATCTATGTAGCAGGTGGCCTCCATTAGTGGAATATGGGAGAAACTGAGGCACACAGAGATGGGATTTGTCTAGACCTCAAATCTCTTTCCCTTGGCTATTCAGCTGTTTTGAGATGATCCAGTGAAGGAAAGGATAGAAGATCTGCTTTGGTGTAAGATAGATGATGGCACTTGGAGCAGAGTGATAATAGGTAGGGATATTGCTCTAGTGATGGATGGTCTAGATTCAATCCTGTCCCTATTATTTAGTAGGTATGGGATGTTTAAGATACCTAACTCTCTGGTTATCTCATCTGTAATGGTTGGTAATATATACCAGTTTCATCAGGTCTTTATAGGACCAGATGTGTACAGAGGAGTGTTTCTCATACGAAAGTATGCCTCAAAATGCGTGGGTATCTTGTTTAAAATGCACATTCTGGGGTTGGGGATATAGCTCAGTTGGTAGAGTGCTTGCCTTGCATGTATACAAGGCCCTGGGTTCAATCCCCAGCACCACAGGGGGAAAAAATGCACATTCTGATCTAGCGGGCCTGTTCTAGTAAGCTCCCAGATATTACCAAGGTTGCTGGCCCATGGACCATGGTTTTTTTTTTTTTTTTTTTTTTGGTACTGGGAATTGAATCTGGAGTGCTCTATCACCAAGCTACCCCCAGCTCTTTTCTGTTTTTTATTTGGAGACAGAGTTTTTGCTAAATTGCTAAGGCTGGCCTTGACTTTGGGATTCTTCTGTCTCTGCCTCCTGAGTCACTTAGAACTACAGGCGTGCACACCGTGGCCAACCATGAACCACACTTTGAGAAGCAGGGATGTAGAGCACTCAGCGCAAAGCCTGGTACACAGTCCATGTCACTGTTACAGTTACAGTCATGGTTGTTACTGCTACTCAGCCTTTTCAAACAGGCACCTGAGGAGCAAGAATGCCAGCAGACTGGCCTCTCCAAGGATCTGTCTTTTCCTGGATTCTCCTTCTGTTCCACCACATGACCTTTGCACCTGTCCTGAGCAGCAGCTGGGGAGGGGATACAGGAGGAGGGGGTCCTCTGCCCAGCTGCTATAGGCCCGAGTTCCAGGTTTGCAGCTGAGTCCATTTTCACGCTGCTTTACTCCAACCAGATTTTGTTAAGCCGGGTGTGTTTCCTCTTTTTACTCATCTTTGTTTACAAAACACGAGGAAGCTATCAGTCTCCCAGCCGCCTGCCAGGCCTCTCTGTGGCACACCCCACTTCCCTTCCCCTGAGAGCAGGCGCTATGCCTCCACTTGCTGGGTTGTTTTCCAGTGTCTTTTCTGCAGGGGAAAGAGGAATGTTCTAGCCATGGATGTGAGGTGTTCTCTGTTCACCTGGGTTGTCAGAGCCCTGAGGTCAGCCTCAGTGGACACCACTTTTATATGAGTCTAAGCAGGGAGAAGGGAAGCCTCTTCATGGTTCCCTGGGGAAAGGTCAGGGAGACTGGGACTGGACATAACTTCAGACTCTGGGAGTCTGGGAAACCTGGGCTCAAGGTTCCAGTTATCACATTGGCTTCTTCTATCTTTTTCTCATCTGACCAGAAATTGCCTGGTGGGGACCAGTGGTAGCTGTGGCTAAAGACTATCTAAGAGAGGGCTCCAGCTCCCCTGGACTCTTCACATAAACTTGCTTGCAGACTGGGTCATCTAAGGAATCTAAGGCCAGCCTGTGCTGGCCCCTTTCTGCATATTAGGTTTTTATTCCCCTGTCCACTGAGAACCCTGTGGAGAGGCCCCAGCCTGGTCCTCCTCCCCTGGTAGACAAGGAGAGAACAAAGACTGCCTCTCCCAGCACCCCCCTCATCCCCTCTGGGCCTCTGCTGGCCCCTGGGAAGTGGTACCTGTATGGGTAGGACACTAGCCACAAACCTGTGAGCCACTGACCCTTGAACTTTGCCCCCAACTTCTCAGCCTGACAGTAGGACCTGGGATAACCTCCAGAGCGTGGTGTGCATTCTTTGTTTTTGTTTTGTTTTCAAGTATGTTCTTGCTTAACGTTTAATTGGCTCCAGTCAGTAGGAAAGCGCTCCAAGAGGGATTATTTATGGCTTACTGTCAAGAGCAGCTATAAAAAGGGCAGCACGGAGCTGGAGATGCTGGGAAGGGGGAGAGGGCGGACACACAAGTGTGTGTCTGTGTGTGTGTGTGTGTGTGTGTTTGCACTGGATGAAATCAGATTTTTGCTGCCTCAGCAGTGTGGTTTAAATTGAAGATTAACCCTTTGACCTTCACAGTGTCAAATCACTTGCAGATGGAGGCTCCCCCCTTCTTTCTCCCCTTGTTCTCTGTGTTACTTTAGAGTAGGGGGTGGGGGGGAGCACTTCTTCTCTTTCTCTCTGAAGCAAGTTTGTTGTTCATGCAGCTGAGGTTTTGGGGGCTCAAGAGCCAAACTGATTAAAAGCAGCACTTGGCTAAACTCTGGAAAATCCTGCGAGCAGGGGAAAGAGTCTAATCCTCTTGTGCACAGTGCACATAGAGCCAGTCGTTTCTTTTGAATGTTAAAACTGTAATTGTTTTTGGAGAACCCAACCATCTCCTCCTCATCCCCTGTCTGTTGCTGCCCCCCCGCCCCCCCCCCTTCCTCCAGTTTGCTGGACTGTTGGGATTAAAGTGTGGCCCTGAGGCATGGAGATCTGAACTTTTATTGGAAATGGTCTAGGTGGTGTTTGGCAGTTATGGTGATTTTTTTTTCCCCCTTCCAGCACCAGCAGAACCGAAATCGTGTGTGGTGGCAGATTCTCCTCTTCCTGCACAACCTGGCATTAAATGGAGATGAGAACAGGGACCGGGCAGGTCCTAGGTGAGGCTGGGCTGCCTGCTTCGCATGGGGCACCAGGAATGCAGTCTGGAGCAGAAGGACGTCGGGAAGGACCGACACTGTGTCTTGTGAAGTTGTTTTTGTTATTTTTAAGTTTTTCCTCTATGTGTACATATGACATACCCCATCCGGACCTTCTGTCCCTATTCAGGGCCTTGACCTTGAATGGGGACCTTTGTCAAACACTGTTGATGGAGAGGCTCGTGTGTCTGTGATGCTGGGAACTCCCAAGGGCTCTGACAAGTAGATTCTTCACTCAGAGTTATCAGAGATGACCAGTTAGTGGACTATTCTCCAGGAACTCAGTTAAGAAGTAGGATGCTAGATTAGACCTCCAGTTCCACCAACCTATCAGCCTTCCATCATGCATGGGAGCCTTGTTCCTCATGGTCATACTGTTCTAACCCAACAGGGTCTTGGCCAGGGCCTTTCCAGCTATGGACGGCAATGTAACTAGTCCAGCCAGCCGGCTCCACATCTGGGTTCTTATTGGGCCCAGCCAGTGTCCACCCTGAGGACTCAGGGATTCTTGCCCCAGAACTTGTCCCCTCCATCAGACTCAGGGAGGGTTGAGCTTCTCCAAGGACCCCTTGAAGGTGCTGCAGAATGAACCAAGCATTTTGACCTCAGATCTGATTTGATCCCACTTGGAGGCTCCAGGATTGGTCCTGAGGCACAGAACCACTGCTACTTCTACTGCCTGGGTGTCAGCCACAGATGGTCCCAGCAACCAGTCAACTTGCTGTGCCCAGCGGCCTGTGCCTTTGTCAGCTCTGTTTTCCAAAGACCCTGCCAACTGGACTGTATTCCATCAAATATCAGCACTGTGGCACAAAAAGGGGCAGGTTTTCAGTGGGGCTGGGAAATGTGGCAGCCATCCCACAGATAAAAGTCAGCTCCAGAGGCCCCAGACCCCTTGGTTTCCTTGGAAACAACATACCTCCTCCCTCTCATCCCCATTCCTTTTTCACACCTAGTGGGATAGAGGAAAAAGCCAGGACAAGTGGCTTTGTCAGTGAAAAGTGACTTTTAGAGTCATAGACAGTGATCAGAGTGTGGAACTGTCAAAGCTGGGTACACATTTCCTGTCTTCCTTCAGCTTCCAGCCAAGCCAGGAGGGCAAGCTCTGGAACTCAGCAGGATCACAGCTGCCTCTGAACTTCTTCCCTTCTCTCCCTGCTGTGGCACTAATGGAGGGAATTTAAAGCAGCTGGTCTGGCAGCTCTGATAGCAGACACAGGGAATCTGTTAACCTAGAAATTAAATTATAATTTTTGCATATGTAAGAGAAGACAACATTGGTGCTAAAGTTAAAGCAAGACCCAAAGAAAGGATGACTTCCCTGGGCATAGAAGACCCCGTGACAACTCAAGAATACTGGTGGAGTCCAGAGTAGACTCTCAAATCTGAACGAGCCCAAGCTCCTCTAGTTCTGCAGAGAAGAGATACTCAGTACTGTTGAAGGACAACTGATCTTCTGGATGTACAGTTGGGCGGGTTGTTCACTGTGCAAGGGCACCTGCAGAGGGAGCTGATAGAGGCTGAAATCCAGCCTATACTCTGCTCTCTAACCTGTGTGCTCTGATGTGGGGCTGCATCTGCTCAGAGTTAGGGGTGCCTTTCCTAATTTGCACAAAGGTACCAGGTACACTCACAGTGGTCCTGAGAGGGACCTCATGACTGTGTGTATAAGCCTCTGTTATGTTCTGCTCAGATGATCTGGAGATATTACCTCTTCCTGGCCAGGATCATTTTCTCAGGGTGTGTACCATGGTTTGTCTGCTAAGATTGGTTCCTGCTTATAAGGAGCCCAGGGAATGGATAAGAGGACATGCTGGCCATTGTGAAATCTAGCCTTCTCTGCATGTCTCCATACTGTTTTGGGACATGTATAGGACATACGTTGTTTTCCCCCTCCTGGAACAAGGCTGTGACAGGCAGGCTGCTGGTGTGTTTGAGTGGTACACACACACACACACACAGGATTATTTACACCTGCAGCTTTTAACCCCTCTTGGCAGATTTCCACCTGAGCTAAGAGAAACAATGTCCAGACCTTGGTGCTGAGGCCAGACCATCAGCTTCAGACCTGGCCATGCCCAGGCTGGATGCCTGGTGGCCTGTCCTGAGAACTGAGCCGAGTTTTACAAGTCCACCTGAACATCAAGCCAGGCAGACATTGGTCTCACTGTGTGGTCTCCATCTAAGCCATGCCAGGAATGCCCTCACTATCCTAGGGCAGCCAGGGCAAAATTTAAACCTCCTTTTATTTCCCCTGCCTCTCAAAAATCCCAAACTAGAATGGGGATGTGGCTTAGTGAGATGAGGGAGGCCCCTGAAGGGGGGGGGGGCGGAATATATATAGGTTCCTCCTGGCTGGCTGGCTTAGTAACCCGGACTGGCCTCTTTTCCTCTCCTGGAGAATTGGCTTTATATTCCCCAAGTCCAGCCTTAGGAGATGCCCCTTGCCTGGGCCCCTCTGGCTCCATCCCCCACCCCAAGAGCCTAACTGTCTCTAGTGAGGGGGTAAGGTTTTAGAGGGAGGGAGAGTCGACCTGGGTCCTGACCTGTAAGGCTGAAGGCAAGTGGGACTTTTGTGTAGTGCTAAGGGTGGGGTTGGGAGAGAGGCTGGAAACCTCTTCAGTGTGGAAATGCCTTGGAGGGAGGAAGTCTAATATTCAGGGTCCAAACAGCCCCTCGAATTCAGAACCCCCAGGAGGAGTTTCTAGAAGGCTATGCACAGATGGAGATGGGGGAGGCCAGACGCTAACTCCCTGGGTGAGGTTGTAGGACTCAGCTTGGACTTCCTTGCCTGCTTCAGAGACTGGGCCGCTGCAGAGCTGCCCCTGGTTGCCTTTTCTTGCTCCATCTGAGGTAGAAAGATCACCTCTCAGTGACATCCCTCGCCCCCGCCTCAGGGGAGTGGGTTGATAGCCAGAGCTATGAGACAAGGTTATTTGGAGGGCTGACCTATCTTGCTGCCTCTGGCATTTCAGCTGGTGCCAGGGCATGACAAGGAGGGGGTCATTTAGGATGATCCAGCCAGGGACCCTGTCAGCCCAAAGCTTTTGAGAAAATGAAGCCACGGTCACTGTTCTAACCAGCAAGGAACACACTACCCCAATGAGAGCTTTTCTGGGGGCTTGATGGGGAGGCAAGGAAGGGAGAATGCAGAGTAGCACAAGTCCTCAGTCACTGCACTCTTCTGGGCTTCTGCAAATTAGTGCTATTGCAGCCAGCCCTGGCTGGAGAAAGCTGCAGAGTCTCTCTGTGTAAAGATGAGGACCCTTGGAGGCAGGCCATTCTGGCCAGATACCTGGCAGGAAGGAGTTAACTCATCAACCTTCAAAGCTCCCTGGGGTTACCCTGGGGACTGAGCCTTGAGAGAACCCCAGAGAAAGCCGAGTTCCCCATAGCTGGGCCAGCCTCCTCCAAAGGTGCTGTGCATATGTTGGGCCCCAGCTGGCACCCCTTTCAGTGTGCAGATGATAGTGCCTTTCCCCAATCTGGGAGCATTGCCTAGGGGTCCACCCCATCCCTGGATCCACAGGGACTGTCAGGGGGAGACCCAGTGAGATGTAGCATTTTATTCATCCCCAGGTAGTTGCCCTGGGGTCTGGGCACTCTGCTCTGAGGAGGGGAAAAGAGAGGGGTACCTGTTATTTTTTAACTTGTACAGAGCATCTGACTTTCTGTTCTTCACATGCATATATGTGTTTGTGTGTATATCTTTTTCCTTCATCAATTGGTACCATTTTTAATAAAACCATTTAAAGCAAAGCTGGCCTTTCTTTTTTGAGATGTGGTAAAATGCAAGCGGATACCAAGCGTGGTGGTGCACACCTGTAATTCCAAAGACTCGGGAGGCTGAGGCAGGAGGATCACAAGTTCAAAGCCAACCTCAGCAACTTAGTGAGGCCCTGTCTTAAAAAAAAGGAAGGGGGTGCTGGATATGTGGCTCAGTGGTCAAACACCCCTGGGTTCAATCCCTCGTTAGGCCCCCCATCAAAAAAAAATGCAAGGGAAGCATTGGAGAATTAAAGACTACTGAGTGGTTTCTCAATTGTATCAAGAGTTACCCAAAGACTCTGTGCTTTTGTCATGATTTCCTTTGCCCTTTTGGAATGGAGAAGAGCAAAGTCTGACTGCAAAGAAAGCAGCACAACAGAGGTCCCATAAGATGGAAAGATGGAGCTTTCATCAAACCTGTATTTGGATCCTGGTTGGGTTCCACTCTCTGCCAGCTGAATGATCTTGAGCAAGTTTGTAACCTTCTCTGAGCTTTCAGTTCTTCCATGTAAAATCCAGCTGTGCCTGCCTTGCAAGATTAAAGGGGATGTGTCAAAGGGTCTGCCCACTGCTGACACTCAACAATGGCAGCCTGAATTGTGGAAAGGACCTCTAGCACCCTTTCCATGCCCACCTACCCTCCTTCAAACTGGGCTTTGGTTTTCCTTTCTCCATGTAGCATCTCAGGACTTCCTGGCTTGCATTTCTCTATGAATTATCAATGTGTCTGACTCAAAAGAATAATTTAAAGCTCTTGACAGAATTCTGTAAGCCCTTGGGAAAAACTACTCCTGGTCCTATCAGCAGCAAGTTGTGAGCAAGAGGGCCAGTCTAGGACTCCAGCTCCTACCTCCACAGATGGTTGCAGTCTGGAACCATCTTGTCTAATCTCTTGTTTTACAAATGAGTAAACTGAGGCCCAAAAAGGAGCTGTAATTTTCTGTCTGGGCTATTTATTTATTGGTACCGTGGATTGAACCCAGGGTCTTGTATATGCTAGGCATGCACTCTACGACTGAGCTTCCTCCCCAACCACATTTGAGCTCTTTATTTATTTATTTATTTATTTGCAGTGCTAGGGATTGAACCCATGGCCAGGCAAGTGCTCTACTGCTGAGCTACACCCCCAGCCCTGGACTCTAAATAGCTGAGTCAGCCAGGACATGTGGTGCACACCTGTAATTCCAGCTTCTCTGGAGCCTGAGGTAGGAGGATCACAAGTTCCAGGCCAGCTAGTGAGACCCTAATCTCAAAATAAAAAAATAAAAGGGGGATGTAGTTCAGTGGTAGAAAACCCCTGAGTTCAATCCCCAGTACCCCAATCAATCAATCAATAGCTGAGTCAGGCTGAGTGGTATCAACCCATCCATCTGTGCAATTTGAAAATTGCGCTGCTCTTGCTCAGCTCTTTGAGGAAGCCAAACTTGTCTATTTTTAATGCCAAACAACTGCCTCTTCTCCTGTAAAACATGGCACTGCTAGCCACTCTATATTTGGATAGTGAAGTTTATTTTTACTGGAGTGTGGCAGAAGTAGGGCCTGGTGCCACATCCGGATGTTATTCTACATTTCACATGCTAAGTTGTAGCTGGGTCCATTAAGCAGCTCCTATAAGGAGTAGGTGTCTGGTGATGGTCAGGTCTTTCATGCAAGTCATCTGCTCCTACTTTGAGTAGCAACCTGAGAACTCACCCTTGTCTACCCTCTCCTTCTTCCTGTCTCTGATCTGTACAGAGGAAGCACAGTGTGAAAGTGAGGGCACAGTGGCCCAAGTTTGAACCAGGCTGTGCTTCCCCCTAGTTGTGTGGCATTGGGAAGGTCACATAATTTTCCTGTGCCTTGATTTCCTCCATTGTAACATAATAGCACCTCGACATAGGGTTGTTATGAGGGTTAAATGTGCGAGCACGTGTAAAGTACTTAGAAACAGTATTGGGGACATAAGTTTTCAATAAATGTTAGTTATTTTTTTTGTAGTGCTGGGGACTGAAACCAGGGCCTTGTACATGTGAGGCAAGCACTCTACCAACTGGGCTATATCCCTAGCCCCAATGTTGGTTATTAATAATATTACTTTGATCATTGTAGGCAATGGATCAATAGGCTGTGACTACTCTTACTTGGAAATGTCTCCATAGAGAAGAGCACCTATCTCTAGCACCTAGGAAGATAGGTGCTCTTCTCTATGGCATTGTCTTTTTTTTTTTTTTTTTTTTGGTACTCTGGATTGAATCCAGGGGTGCTCTAATACTGAACTACATCCTCAGTCCTGTTTATTTTTTAGTTTAAGACAGAATCTCACTAAGTTGTTCAGGCTGGTCTTCAATTTGTAATCCTCCTGCCTCAGCCTCCTGAGTCACAGGGGGGATTACAGGTGTGCACCACCACACTTAGTTGCATTGTCTTAATGTAAATCTTCTTGCCTGGACACCTGCAAAGGCTCCTAACTGGTCTCTTGTCAGCCTTGCCACCTTCCACAGTGACACTTGCTCACCTGCCACCTTCTCTGCTGGAGGGGGAGGGGTGGTTCTAAAGCAACTCTGATCCCATCAACCCCACTGGAAAACTTGCTCTACTGGATTATTCCTTAGCCTGCTGCTCTAGGCACCTACTCATCATATTAGAATTATTTATTTGTGTTCTATACAACAAACTACCCCCAATTTATTGCCTTAAAATAACAAACATCTATTATCTCATAATTTCTGTGCATCAGAGATTCAGGAAAGGTGGCAGTATGATGAGATGCTATTATTAGGGTAAAGATTTCTGGGCTGGAGAGTAGCTCAGTGGCAAAATGCTTGCTGAGGCTGCATGGGTTCAATCCCTAGTAAAATAAATAGTTCCTGAAGCACCTATTTACATTGCATGAAGTCTACTGTACACTTCAGCTGAGAGGGAAGAGGAAGAGAGAGATTGATTGATACATAGTGATGCAACACAGCACTCCCGTCCTTCATTCCATAAGCAACTGGTGCCTGGAGGGAGTGTGTAAGGGAACACGCACGATAGCCCTTCCCTGGCCTCACAGCACACCAGCATCTGATCACACTCAAAGATAAGTTTCTCTGGTCCAGTGGGGTTTAAATGCCAACCAGGGTTTTCCTCTGCTGCTCAACTGATGCAACAGAAGGAAAAGCTGGCTGGCTGGGATGTCCTGAGAAGTGGGTCTGCTTGTTGAACTTCATGGGTACTCCATGGAAAGGATTTTCAAGGACAATTTTCACTTTGTGCGATTTCTGCCTCACAGGAGGTCTTGGAACCAATGCCTGTGTGAAATGAGACTTCTTTGGATCACTAACCCCAACCACTCTGCCCTTAATCCTCTGCTTCCTGGGAGAAATGTTTGCCATCCCAACTGGGAAGGCTCAGTGTGGAAGTAGAATTGGAATTGCCCTAAAGAGGGTGGTAAGAGTAAGTGGTGTTAGTGATGGCCTGACCATTGTAATTCAAAGGCCCCCTGGCTCTGTGCCACCCTGCAGTTGAATGAATACCAACTCTGTCTGAGAAGACAAGGTCCACTGAATGAGTCAATGGCACTGGCTGCGGGGGTAAGCCACCACCCTAAACCCAGTGCAAGGATTCAAAAGAAACAGGCCAGAGTCCTTGTCTTGAAAATTGTATCCTGTGAGAAGTCCAGGTGGTTTGGGATAGTGGAAAACCCGCTTAGCTAGGACAAAGGAGACTTAAATTTTTAAGCTGACTCTATTACTGACTGGCTAAATGACTTGGGGCAAAGAAGTGACTTTACTTCTCTGATCTTGAATGTCTTCATCTGTCAGCATATCTGTTCACCATTTTATCCAGAAGGTTTTTTTTTTTTTTCAGTGTTGAGTTCTTTTGCTTCTCCTGAAACAATAGATCGATCTCTCCTCAAGAAAAGGCACAGAACATGCACAAACTTAAGAATTTGTGTGTAAAAATTTAGGCAATTAATTGAATGTCTAAATCTGTCACATGGTCATGAAATTTAATGACTACTGGTTTTATGCAAAGCAATAAGAGAAAGAATAAGCATTGAAATAAACTTAGAAACCTAAGCAAGCTCATGACTTTCTTCATATTTTAAGGAGCTGCCTCTGTGTCCTGTGAGGGAGAATGGTGCAATCTCTGGAGACTCATGTTTATCGTACTGTATTCCTGATTTCAGAGACCCACGCTTCCCGTCAGCACACTCAAAGACTGAAGCTGTGACAATGGTCTAGTTCTTTTGGAGGCCACAACCCTAGTGCAAACAGGGTATTTGTGTCTACTGTTTTCTTTGTAGCCCTTCTATCTTAGTTTAAAAAGGGCAGTGAACCTGGGTGCCTTCTCACAAACTCTACAGGGGGCTTCTCTGATCAAGGAGTCTCCAGGTTCGTGCTGAATGAGCTGGTGGAAGCAATTAGACATTGGAGGTGTAGGAGAATGTGGTTAGTAGCCATGGGACATCCAGAGCAGAGGCCCAGGAGATATGTACAACCCTGATAAAAGCTTCTTGGTTTTTTACCTGAGTGAGCCCAGGGTTCTGCCCCATGATTTTATCTTTGAAGTGGAGAGAGTTCAGTGCCTAGTGGCAACCTCATTGCTAACACACCATTACATTTGCCAAAATGCCCTCAAGTCCCAGGCACTCATTGCAAAGATACTGGAAACATACACACACACTCAAGTGGGCTGGGTACTATTCTAAATGGCAGCCCCAGAAAAATCCATTAGGCCCTGAATCTTATAGGGCTGGGGTTGTGAGGCTTTCAGTACTAACCCAATGTTTGCAGCACATGGGCATTCCAGATTCATAATTTTGATGATTCCTCCCTAAAATGCAGAAAAGAACTGGGGATATATCATCAATTAGGGAAACTGAAAACCACCTGTATGACAGGATTTTATACCATTAAGGACCAGCAAATATCCCTTTTCCTTTTCACAACAGTTGGTCACTATTTTCTTGACCACCAATGGACATTGTCATGTGAGCAGCTCTCTGCTTTTAGTTTGGATTGACTGAA